ATACATGTCTTTGCTAGAAAAAATTCCAATACATGTAAATTAATTGGTTTATGTGAACGTTATAGCGTTTTTACAAATGGTGGTATAGACACTGGATTTTTTTTCTATACTAGTAATGGCAGCGATCAGCAACTTATAGCAAGCCTGCGGGACTGCGACGGGCATTCTGACACTAGGGGGGAATTGACTAACTGTCCCTGACAGCCCCAGTGACACCAATACAGTGATCAGTGCTAATATAAATCACTGACACTGTACTAATGACACTGAACAGGAAGGGGTTAACATCTGGGGAGATCAAAGGATTAACTGTGTGCTGTGTGTGTGTTTTACAGTGTAAGAACACTGCTTAGTATGGCTCTGCTATGCAGAGCCATACAAAGCAATGTGCAGGAGCTGACAGGGGAGAGATCTGTGTTGTTTACATACAGGTATCTCCCCCGTCAGTGATACTCGGCGATCGTCGGGTGCCGGCTGGGAATCACTGGCCAGGACCCGGTGATCGACAGCTGAGGCCTCCAACGGTGGCGTGGGTAGGGTTAGCACACTGCTCACGCACCAGGAAATGCAAAATCACGTATATATATGGTTAAGGACTTTTCAAAAACTGTTTTTTTTTTTTTGTTCAATTAAAGGAATTTTTCAAAAGTCTGGTGTCTTTATTTTTTCAAAATTTAACCCTTTAGTGAATGGTTAGAGGTACAAGTATCGTGATGCTAATGAGCCCCCCCTTCTCACAGACCTCCACAACCACCGGGCCTGGATTGTGCAGAAGAGGCCCTTGTCCTCATGGGCATGGGTACACTGTCCCAATACCGAAGCGGGGGGGGGGGGGGGGGTCGCTTGATCACCCCCCCTTCCTTTCTGCCCTGCCAGGCCTGTGCTTGGATCAAGGGTCTGAAAGGAACTTAGGGGGGATCCTAAAAGGCCTGGTAGGGCTTTTAGAGAGAACCTCACGTGCTTTTTTTTTTTTTACTGTGGGGTCCCTCCTAACCTTCCTACCAGACCTAAAGGACCTGGTATGGATTAGAGGGGGGGGGGACCCATGCGGTATCTTTTTTTTAAATATATTTTTTGTTTTATTGTTGGTTTTTTTTTTATATTATTTTTTAAATGATTATTTATTTATTTATGTATTTATTTATTCGGAGAGAGTATTCTCCACTCTGTCTTCGGCAGTGTCCAGCAACACACTGCATAAGGCTGCAGTGGAAGAAGCCATATATAGTGTGGGACGTGGACTTATCTGTGAGCCATGATTGGCCAAAGTCACGGTGACTTTGGCCAATCATGGCTTTCACAGTGCATTGAGCTGTGATTGGCCAAAGCATTGCACTTGACTTGTGGTCAGGTGCATTGCTTTGGCTAATCATGGGTCTGACAATGTTCTCATGGCTCCCACAAACGCCCTTACCGTTCATGTGTTCTGCGAACACACGAACGGCCGTTGTTCAAACCTAGCACTAATAAGGATGCCTAAAGACTGCTGGTTGAGATGTGTTTCTCTCTAATTCTATGTTTTTTTGTTTTGTTTTGTTTTGTTTTGTTTTTATGAGAGAATTACTAAACTCAAGTGGCAGTTATAAGAGGGGGGGGGGGGAGTAAAAGAATTAATGAGGAAATAATCCCTTTAACAAGCATTAATAGTCCCCATACAACACATTTCACCTATTTTTTCTAAGTTGTAATAGAAAAGCCAAAAATTAAGGATTTATGAGTTCTTTATAGATAACATTGATTTAATAATTTTATTAAAAGTGGTGAAACTTTATAGAACAAATGGTTATAGGTCTAAAGTGATGATTAGAGCCTGGCATAGAATTATTTTTCTTATGGCCAAACTTACTTTAATTCAGTCAAGATCGTAAAGTATTAATTCCATTTTCAAAGACAACTTGCGCAAATGTCCTAATCCCAGGGCATAAAACCCCAATCATCAAAATCTCAAATAACCTTTAACATGTTAATGTAATTTCAAAAGCAATTTTCCTTGTAAATCTGCAATTTTTAAAATAAAACCCAATGATGTTTCAATAAAAAAAAAAAATGTCCCTCTTTATACATCAGTCATCAATCATGATGCCCGCCCACTCGCCAGGAATAAAAAAAAAAACAGTGACTTGATGCACACAAAAATCCCGACAGTTCCACAAGCTCCCCGAGCTGTCATCAGTTATATAAGGGAAGGGGCAGAGATGATAGTGACATCATTGACCAACTATGGCCAGTGGCTGTAGTCGGGCATTGATGTCACTGCTATCCCCACCTCTTTCTTTAGTTTGCCTGGATTCCCATTGATATCGGTGGTTCCTAGAGATGTGATGGGTGCAAGCACCATTGGCTTCCTTAAGAACCAGTGACAGCAGGAAGCTGCCATTTACTGTATTTAGGGAGGATCGGACCAAACTGTTGGCTCATCCCTATGAGACAAGGCAATAAAGTGGAGGTATGAAATAAGCATCATCTGATGACTGAATTTTGTCCTTTATCTATCAAGGAGAACTGTGAGCTACACCAAAATTACATCTCAGTTAAAATGTACCTGAACATACACTTTACTTTTTAAATTTTCCTCTATAAAATTACCTTATACCACATTTATTTTTCAATTTGCTTTGACTCCAATACATTTTAGCCTTGCCCCCCATTCCAGCATGTATTTTATTTGTTTCTTATATTTACATTTTTAGATGTTTTCAAACTACCCATGTAATGTTTTGAGTTCTCTTCCTCTGCATATTTTTCCAACATTGGGCATAGACTGCTCAGTGATACAGAGTACGGATATTGGTAGAATTGTAGAAAACCTAGTGTGCCCTTGGGCACACAGAAGGAAGCATATTGTGCTAAATTGTGGATGTGGCCAACAGTAAGAAGAACAGTGGGAAGAGCTAAAGTGGCATGGTTAAAGTGGTTCTAAAGGCAAATTGTTTCTCTGCATTAAGGTAAAAAACCTTTCCATGCCAGGGGTCAGAAGTGCATTAAATGCAGAGGATCAGCAGTCCTTGCCCAAATTCACTCCAGTACAAATTCCCCCAACCCCCTTTAGTACAGATCTCTCCCTTTTCCAGTAAAGAGGTTTACCCCAATATAGACCCCCCCCCCAAGGCCAAATATCCCCCTGTACAGATTTCCCACCTGCCTCCCTAAAATCTATTCACTAGACCTCACATACAGCGGCAATGATCAATGAAGAGAAATCCTTCACGTCTATGCCATGCAACACTGCACATAAGCGTCAAGGAGTTCCTCACTGTCTCAGCCAGCGAGGAGTGAGAGACCTAGGAGTACCGCTGCTGTCGTGCACATCACTGCATGGGGATCGGACTCAGGTAAGTATTAGGGGGAGCTGAGTGGAGAGCTGTACACTGAAGGTTTTTTACCTTCATGCATAGAATGTATGAAGGTAAAACACTTTCAGTCTTTACAACCACTTTAACATCATGAAGATATCGTGGTCAACATATCAACAATGCAGCTGAGATTATTTGGCAATATTAATAACAGTCAAGACAACAAGAAAGCTTTGACAGATTCCAATAATAATATAAAGGGTAGAAGTTCAGCGAGCGCTAGGAATAATATTTGATAAAATGCAGCTCAATGACAGATGTCCAACCACAGATGCAAGAGAATAACCTTAGATCCTTGCGTCTAATCAGCAGGTCTGGCTCTGTGATGTTAATGCATCGTGATCCCAAGAGGTCCTAAAACCTACAAGCAGCATGTCTGTTCAAAAATTGGATGTAACAAAATTTAAGTAATTTATAATATTGGTCTTATTAAGCTTCCTTTCTGGGGGAGCACAGTTGTAATTAGCAGGCCATTTCTTAACATTCACATTTTATGTATTCATGAGCTTTGAAAAATTCAACAGATGGGAAAAAAATCATCAAGGGTGGTCAGGCCATTCCTAACTGCGGTGTTTTACTTTACAAAATTCATCCTTAATAGAAAACCTCCAAAGTATTCCATAATGGTATATTTAAACAGTGAAAAGCAAAGTTCATTTGAAATGATAATGAACTTTTTTGAGTAATTTAGCTTTTGCATAACTCGCAAACCGAAAATTATCAGAACAGAAGAGGATGCTAAAGGATATTGATTTCACTGTTCACTGCACTGTTATAACATCAGATCTGCAAAAATAAATGTTCTGATGTTTCTGCGGTTATCTAACAGAAACAAAAAGTTATCCCTTCAAAGGTCATTCCACCTCAAAACTGTTAAATGAATGTGCATTGATTTACCTACTGGTTTCTTACATTTCTCAGTGAAAACTAGTTATCCTTCTGCAATCTAACAATACTTTTTCCTGCCAGTAATGTAAAAAAATATATCAAATATTATTTGATTATGGGCCTGACAAGTAGGTGGATTTGGGAATTTAGCTGTGGAGCGCTCTTCAGCTAAGAAAGATATAAAAGCTAATGGACAATTCCACACACAAATACCAGTATTGAGTGGCATGACCCATAAAAATTATAATTTTTTGCTCTGTGGTTACATCGGTCTGGACACGTGATAAAAACTCTCAAAAGCACAGTTAATAAAAATGCAAAAGTAAGAGTTTATATTTTTAAAGTTTATTGTAATCCCTGAAATAATAAAAAAAGATTGTTTTAAAATTGTGTATAGTTATGCTTTGAAAAGGCAGATATCTGCCAGTGTTGGTGGAAATGTGGCGTGGTTTTGAATTTTGTTCTATGTTATTGCAATTCATTGCCTCTTTCCTGTATTTCCCTGTACATCTTGACTTCTGGACAGCCCTGTTCACCAAGGAAACAAGATAAGATTAGTTGGAACTATAATACAGAACGCATTACATACACCTTATGATTCACACATGCCAAAATTATTTTAGATGTACAGTAACATTCTAGATCAATGGTCTGCAATGGTCTGCAAACTTTGGCCCGGGGGTCAGATGTGCCCCTTGCTTGCTTTTATGTGGCCCTTGGGGCATTTTTCCTCCCACTGTCAGAAATACTGGGGCATAGTTCCTGCCACTGGCACCAACAAAAGGACACTATTCCTCCCAATGGCACCAATGGTGGGGCACTATTTCTCCCATTGACTCCGATGATAGGGCACTATTCTTCCCACTAACACCAATGATAGAGAACTATTCCTCCTATTACCCCAATGATGGAGCACTATTCCTCCCAGTGACACCAACGGTGGGGCATTATTCTTCCCATTGACACCAACGATGGGGCACTATTACTCCCTCTAATACAAACGATCGGGCACTGTTTACTCCAACTGATGCCAGGACATTGTCTTCTCCCACTGGCCACAGTCTGGCCCCACAAACGTTTGAAGGACAGTAAATTGGCTCTTTGTTTAGAAAGTTTGGAGACCCCTGTTCTAGATGATGGTGCCATTCTGGAAGCATGATTGAGCTTCTGTCAGCATCTTAAAAAAGGAATATAGGATGTTGACCGACCGGCCTTGGTGTTATTCAGAGAATGCTTTGCATTTTCTGAATGAACATAAAGCATTCTGTGATTGGATGAGGTGGAGTGTGTGATGCCATGCAACTATTCTGGGTCAAGAATAGGGTCTATTCTGTAGTCTAGACCTCAGCAGGTGATGAGCTGAGGGCCTGGAGGAGATTACCAATGGTTTATTGCTGGAGGGAACTGTTCTGAAGTCCTGGTCTGAAGAAGGAACTTGTGTTTCCCTCACTGAGGATCTACCTGTGGATGCTGGGTGGCAGACTGCTCCTGGGACATTGTGAGTAAGACCTGTGTTTGGGAGTTTCATGTGTGTCTGCAGCTTAAAGGCCTCACACACACTGAACATTTTCTAAACTCTCCTAGACGCCTTCCTCTTGGCAGCAGCGTATTGGCAAAAAAAAAAAAAAAAAAGCGCCTGACGCTTGTAAAAGTGTATAAGGTGTTTAGCTGCATTTGCCCACATCAAGCATTTGGGCGTTAATTACTTTCATTGGTCAGAATAAATCATTTATTCTGGCTTGATTTTTTTCTTTCAAAACTCTGCTGCTCCTGGATGCACTGGCAGTGTTTTTTTTTACTGCCTCTAAACTCTCCTGCCATTAAACACCTCTGAAAGTTTGTGTACATGGACACATTTTGCAGGGGGGCAGGAAAAAAAAACACACCAGACACCCCTAGGAGCAGCATTAAAAACATTCAGTGTGCATGAGGCCTAGGGATTTGTGCTAGAAGTGTGTTCTCTTATTGATCATTTTTGGATTATCCTCAACCACTGCACCCTTCTCCTGTTTCAAGTTACTCAGCAATAAATTCTAAAAAGACTGAGCTTATATTGTTGGTGTGCATGGAACTATGCTTGTGATTGGCAGCCTCTGTATGAGCAAAAGAGACCTGAAATATATTCTCAGTGGTCCCTCCTGAGGGTAAGCACTACAGCTGTATTAGTTTTCTTTTTAGGGTTTTCTTTCCTTTCTTGTATTTTGGTGATCTGCCAATAAGTTTGTTGTTTTTCAGCAGAACAAGCTCTCCTGCAAATGTAGCAATTAGAGTGTTGAGACAAATCATTTACCACTCACAGAGGAGCTTACAATGATCAGTTTTTATTTATTCGTGGGAAACCTTTATTCCAAAAACAAAAAAATGTTGCTGTAACTGCTTATGTAACTGCTTGTGTAACTGCAGTGTGAGCTGGAGATTGGCTTCAACTTGTTAGTGTATCTAAATATCTGCTAGTGCATCTAACCCTGCCCCTACCCCCAGATCTACAATGCTGCTGTCCAAATGTGCCACCCATGCTCCTTCACCCAGAGTGTGGGCACTTAAAAGGTGTGTTACTGACCAGGTCCCCAGGTGATAAGAAAAGGGGAAAAAGCCTAAAAAAACGAATGTATCCACCACATCTAGCGATTGGTGAGCTGCAATTATATTATATTTTATTTTTGGTTTGCTTTTTTTTAAATTAACATTCATTTCAATCATTTGGGCATTCTAAGTTGGAGGACCGCCTTAAGGTGGACTTTCCCTGAAAGCAGCCCCCTCTTTGTCCCGGGGCATTCATAAGCACAGTACAGCAAGATTACATCATGTGCAGGAAGAGTGTCCCCCCCACAGTGCCTAGCATAGCCCAAGAAAACCTGGTGGGCTTACAGTCACAAGTAACAGTTTACATCCACTAGCCCACGTGATTTGTCACCCAACGTAGGGCTACGCTTACTTCATACACCTGAAGACCTCCACTAAAGAGACCATGACAATAGTTACAGTTGTGTCCAAAATTATTCAACCCCCAATGCTGTAAAGGGGTTTAGGGACTATAGTGTACATTTGGAATTGTATTCAGAATCAAATCCTACAAGGACGTTGTAACTACCCAAATGCAACTAAAATGACATCAATTGTTTATGTAATACAGTAGTAAATGGTTCTTATGTGTGGTTTCTTCATTGCACAATTCACAATTATTCAACCCTTAAAGACTACCACTCTGAAGAACAGAGGTTCATACAGGTGCTTTCCATCAGGTATTGAAAACACCTGTGGATGTCACCGAGCAGCAATCAAGCATAATAAGCACCAATTAGGCAGCTTTAAAATGACTGTGATACTCAGCTCCTTCTAGACATTTACTGGTGTGGTTACAAACATGGTGAAGGCAAGAGAATGGTCCAGGAAGACAAGAGAAGAGGTGATTTCTCTTCACAGGAAGGGCAATGGCTATAAGAAGATTGCAAAGATGTTAAACATACCAAGAGACACCTTAGGAAGCATCATTCGCAAATTCCAAGGCAAAAGGGCACTGTTGAAACGCTACCTGGTCCGTGGCAGAAAGAAGATGCTGACTTCGACTGCTGTGCGCTACCTGAAGCGTAGAGTGGAGAGAAGTCCCTGTGTGACTGCTGAGGAACTGAGAAAAGATTTGTCAGATGTGGGTACAGAAGTTTCAGCCCAGACAATAAGACGCACACTGCGTAATGAAGGCCTCCGTGCCAGAACTCCCAGGCGTACCCCCTTGCTGTCTCCAAAGAATAAGAAGAGTCGACTGCAGTATGCCAAAAGCCATGTGGACAAACCACAAAAGTTGTGGGGATAGTGTTCTGTGGACTGATGAAACAAAAATTAGAACTGTTTGGGCCCATGGATCAACGCTATGTTTGGAGGAGGAAGAACAAGGCCTATGATGAAAAGAACACCTTGCCCCCTACTGTGAAGCATGGTGGAGGGTCAATCATGCTTTGGGGCTGTTTTTGCTTCTGCAGGTACAGGGAAGCTTCAGCGTGTGCAAGGGTACCATGAATTCTCTTCAGTACCAGGAGATATTGGATGGAAACGTGATGCAGTCCGTCACACACCTGAGGCTTGGGAGACGTTGGACCTTTCAACAGGACAATGATCCCAAGCATACCTCCAAGTCCACTAGAGCATGGTTGCAGAGGAAAGGCTGGAACATTTTGGAGTGGCCATCGCAGTCACCAGACTTAAATCCGATTGAGAACCTCTGGTGGGACTTAAAGAAAGCAGTTGCAGTGCGCAAGCCTAAGAATGTGACTGAACTGGAGGCCTTTGCCATGAAGAATGGGCGAAGATACCCGTAGATCGCTGCAAGACACTTGTGTCAAGCTATGCTTCACGTTTAAAAGCTGTTATAACTGTAAAAGGATGCTGTACTAAGTACTAAGATTGAATGTCACTTGGGGGTTGAATAAAACTGATAATGCTGTGAGCACAGAAAAGACATTTGTGGTTATTTCATTATAACTGTTATGTTATATTTGTCTGACCTACAAGTGCCTCTTTAATGTAAATGTAAGCAAGATGACTGAATGATCAAAAGCAATGTCAAACTGGCCAAAACACTCAATTTCAGTGGGGGTTGAATAATTTTGGACACAACTGTAGTTGAAACTTGTCCAGGCTTGCCCAGAAATACTGTACATGACTAGCCATTCCTGCTTTCTGATTTGCTCCTGCACAAGGTACCCTCAATGGATTAGTGGCAACACTGATAAGGAGCATATATAGCAACAGGTTCCGTAAGGACGCTCAGACGCTCTACGTGCATTGCTACAGGTCACAATGTCGTACTGACAGTTGCCCTGGAAGAAGGTACTGGTCCCAACTGACCAGTCATGGGGTTTGCCCACTGTGACACAGGTATACGAGACAAACTCCTGGTTATAGGCCCATATTGTTGGAGGCACCTGGCTCTGCTCTCCCTGTGGTCTCTCTGCCATCAAGGTAGAGCTCTTCTGTTTTAGCAGCTGAATGAGTTCGAAGAAGCCGGAGACCTTGTCCCCGATGGATTTCCTGTCCCACATGACACTGAGCTGCCACTCTACAAGACCCACGGCCAAAATCCTCTGGCATGCCAGCTGCATCTTTCCAGGCATGACCTCCCCCACTGGATTAGGGGGTTGAGCTGCCACCCAGCTTGGATGGAACCTCCAGAAGTAATCTTGGTGGAAGTATCGCCACCCACCAGCCCTGGACTTATATGCTAGGGACCTTCTGGACAGCACCGGCTCTCCCATTCGGGACTTACCAGTGCCAGTCCTCCCTCAATGATCCCTCCTGAAAAACTCTGCAACAAAAGAGACTCGCTCATCCTCCAGGTCTTTTGCATGGGACCTTCCAAGGGTATCTCCTGAAACTCGTTACTTTTTGACAATGACGAGGAGCTTCTGCCATCACCAGAGCATGTGTGCCCTACCCTGCTGCTATCTTGTGGGCATCTCCAGGTTCCCAAGTACCACCTATTGAAAAAAACTGGCCACAAGTACTGCCTCCCAGTGGATGCATATCTGCCCAAAGAGTTCATGCACTTTCGGACAAGCATCACTTGGTTGGCCAGATTGCAAAGGTACTTGGATGTCCACATTTGGTAATACTATGGCTTGGTGTTCTCCTATGTATTGGAGTCATTATTCTGCCAGCTCGAAGAAGAACGGGGTAAGATATACAGCCGAGCGATCTGGAGAAACTCTGTGTACCAAAACATTTTCAGGAGCTTTTGGCAACAAATTGAATATATTGAGAGTAGGTTTTTAACTGTCTGTATTGGGAATACAACATTGGGAGGCACATCCAGATGGATTAAATTGAAATTGTCAAACCTGGGTGCCTCTTCCCAGTCATTATAAGGGGGATCCATCCGGTTACCAGGGTGCAAGTATACCTCCCTGACCCAGACTTTGATGTGTAACATTGTGAATGCAGTTCCACTGTTCTAGTTGCCCATAACTGATTGTATTGTGCACTTAATATTATTTATGTAATGTTGGTTATTCGCAGGTGGGACTGCTTGAGATAAAGGAGGGCGATGTGTAGACAGAGGCTTTCTGAAAATTTGCTGGCTGCATTTTCGCAATAA